CTGATGCTGTTTCTAAGCTTCAGAGAATCTCAATTCTCTACAGCCAGCTTCTTCTGCAGTAATAACAGAGATTCTTTTGTAGAATTCTTCTCTGCATTAATAATATTATAATTAAGTTATCTAGACAGCATGTCAGCAGAGTTAAGTTAATCTGAACAGTATCAGATATAGAAATCATACTCTGAAAGCAGCTTCATTTATCTGACTTGACATTCTATCAAGCTCTTTATTGTTAAGAAGTAATGCAGATTTATATAATCAGTGAGAACTTACACTGAGTACTTACTATTCTGAAGATAATGTTATCAGATCTTAAAGAATTTAATAATTATTAACATCTTCTAATCATGAATATCATATCTTCTCTGTGTGAGTGATAACTTCTTGAAGAAGAAGATCACTGATCTTTATTCATAGCATTTTATAGACTCTGTGAAAAAGTCTTCTCTCACAGACAATTCATTGTCTGTTTTCTCAGAAATGATTATTCTCTAATTCTTTCAATGTTAAAAGGTCTTCAGTGTTAACTGTGAAAAGATTTCACAGATCTCATTCTCAGATGTATCAGTCTTATACTGACTGAGTAAGTTGAGATTAAAGTGATTCAGTATCATGACATCTGTGAAAGCTTGTTTTAATTCTGCAAATATCTGTATGATGTCTTGAGTAAGAATAAATAATTCTGTTTTTCTGTCTTTCACACTTCTCTTCAACAGATCTGTAAGAGAGGCAGTAATCTATGAATATGTATAGATAAATTATCTGTAGAAATTCACAAATTCTAGAAATATCTGCATCTCACAGTATGTCTGCAGCACTGGCCAGTTCTTAATAATGAAGACTCAGCTTCTATTCATTGAAATGTCATTCATCTTAATAATATAATCTAAGAAATCAATCTCCTGCATGTAGAATGAGCATTTTTCAGTGTTTGTATAGAGTTGATACTGTCTTAAGTAACTCAATACTTCTTGAACATGAGTATCATGTTCTTTCTCTGATTTTGAGAAGATTAAAATGTCATTCAGATATACTATGCAGAAGATGTTGACAAGACTCTGCAGCATCTTATTTATATAGATCTGAAAGATGGCTGAAGCATTACAAAGATTAAAAGATAAAACAAGATATTCAAAATTGCTGTACTTGATATAAAAAGCTGTTTTTCAAATGTTGTCTTTGTTAACTCTGATTCTATGATAGACATCTCATATATCAATCTTTGAGAACATCTTCACTTCAGATAATCAATCAATCATCTCATTAATCAATGATAGTGAATAGTAATTCTTAATCATCATCTTATTGAGATCTCTGTAGTCTATGCATAGATGTAGTCTATCATTCTTCTTAAGTACAAAGAGTATAGATGTCTCTGTCAGACTCTTTGATGAATGTATTCAGTTCTTTGATTGCACTTCTTCAAGATATTTGTGCAGAACATTCAACTTCTTTACAGACAAGTTGTAAAGAGATCTGTACAGTACTGTTACACTGTCTTCAAGACAAATCTTATATCATATCTTGATATCAGAAAACTTCACTACTTCTCTTTTCAAAAAGACATTCTTAAAATCTGTAAAGAGACATCATGTACATCTGTCTTCAATAACAGATACTACTGCTAATCTTGCAGTGAGAATGATGACTTCTTCATCTGTTCTTAAGTCTCAATCACTTACTATACAGTATATCAACTCAATCTTTTTCTCAAGATTCTTTCAATGAAACTCTTCAGATTTCTCTATCACTGTCTCTTCATTAGTGAGGTGATACTGTCACATCTGAGTGACTCAGTCAATGAGAGAATTGTTTTCTCTCAATTATAAAAGACCTAGAAAAATGTTCTCATCTATGATGTTAACTGTATGAAGAAGCAGACTACTCTTCTTAAAGGTTTCTTCTAAGTCTGTGATCATATACTTCACTTGAATTATGCTAAAACAGTGATATTTCATTTCATCAGTAAATTTCACATGATCTGATGAACCTATCTTCTTTCAACTCTTCATCAAAGAAAAGAAATAGAATATGAAGTTAATATTTATTTCAGAGTTGAGTAGATATCTCACTGATATCTTCTTATTCAAGATATGCATTGTGATTATAATATGAACTCAGAGATATGAGAATTATCAATTCTTTATTTCTTTCTCTTTATTATCTTTCATGAATACATTTATCAGAAGAGAAGTTAACTTTGAGAAGATATCTTCTTAATTTCTTCTCTTCTTCAGCTTCTTACAATCACTGATATAGTGTTTATCAGCTTCACAGTTAAAACAGAGATCTTTGTCAAATCTTTTTTAACATTTCTTCACAGTGAGTGAAGAATCAGAATACTTGAAATTCTTCTTTACTTTCTCTGCACTGAAGCTGTCACAGTGCTGTTTAAATCTCATTATTAATTATTTAGAAGAAGTCTTATTAGCCTTTTTCTTAGAGAATTGATTATTCAAATAGATTCAGAAAGTCAGATTGACAAGCTCAGTGTGATTAATTAATGAACTCTGATATTATGATATTATTATCTGCATCTTATGAGTCAGCTTTGTGAGATAAAGCTGTGTTTTTAATTGATTCAAATCATCAGTTAATTTCTCTCAATATTCTTCAAATCTTGTGTTGAAATTGAAAGAATTCTCATTATCTTATTAATATAATGAGTTGAATCACTGTGCTGCTGTGAAGCTGCAGTTACAGTAATTTTTAATTTGATTCAGTAGAAAGTTCTTGAATTCTTTCTAAGTCATGACAGTATTGATATACTCAAGCTTTCTCTTCTTAATAGCTCAAGTAGTTGCAGAGATGCCTTCAAGAAGATTAATAGCATATATTACTCATATCTTATAAGTATTATACTGGCTCAGATTAAGGTGGAATTTCTGTTCAAGAGTATGAATAAAGCTGTGAAATTCAGACAAGGTATTTTCCTTATATCTCAGAGAATCTCTGATCTTAATCTCTCTATCTTTATAATAGATGTAGGTGTGTAGAGGCTGCAGCAGTGATAGAGTGATTGAAGAGCTCATATCAAAATATACAGTGAGTTCAGAAATCTCAGATTTCTGTCAGAGTAGAGATGTACACACTCTAGAAAATGATGTAGTATTTCTCTCAGAGAGTGAGATCAGATCAGTCTCAGTACAGATGCATAAGATTATATTAATCTATTAAAGCTCAACTGATTCAAACTTATAATCAGATTAAGTGATTTAAATTGTAATATAATAAAACTGAAGTGATGACTAGTCAGTGATATTATATAAGAGTAGTTATTTAAGAAGCTGTATAAGTAAGCTTGACTATCTTACTTAAATAGCAAGCTTATAGATTACAGAGTTATTGTGAGAATATCACAGATATAATACTTAGTATACTAAGAAGATTGTATGAGACATGCAGTAACTCTTGTATATATTTTAGTAGAAGAAAAACAAATCACTGACTTCTTTAATAAGAAGTCAGCATCTAGCTATTCTATATAGACAATGAGCAGATACTCTTCTCTCATTTCATGAGTGAGAATAGCTGAAGTGATACCTCAGCAGCATCTTATTATCAAGAAAGAGTAATCTGCTGATCTTGTATAGAAGTGAGGTTCTTATATTCATCAATTGAATCTTTCTATAATACATCTGCATGATGTCATAGAGTGGTTGAAAACCGGTTCAGACAGTCTGCGGAATGAATGAAATCATCTGCATGAAAGTGATGAGCCGTGTGAAACCGCAATGAGGCCTTGGCGCGGCCGGGAGCGTGATAATAGTCTCATTATCAATTTGATAGATTTTATTACACAGTTCTAACATTAAATAGTAGTTCTATACTGTTTCAGTGAGACTTACTATCTACTCTTATTACATTTTTCAAATGAGATCATGATTTTCACTTCTCAATTTAAATTATTTTTATTGCTTTAAATGACTTTAAATCTTATTTAAGCATTACCAAAAAGCATTACTTTTTAAAAAATTAAAAATAGTCTAAAAAAAACCTTAAAATGTCTAAAAATAGTAACTTTATGCTAAGAATGAGACTAAATAAGACTAAATGAGATCACTTTCTCATTTTTTTCAAGTCATGATTTCATTTTGAGATTTGATATATAGTCACTTTGCATGTTTATTTAATAATTAGTTCCAGTGGAATTCACATTAAGAAATGTATGAGATCAGATCAAATAAGACTAAATGTGAAATTTATAATCTCAGTAATCAGTTTAATCTAGACTGACTGCTGAGATTATAAATTTCATATTTAATTTTATTTAATCTGATTTCATACATTTCTTAGTATGAATTCTGCTGAGACTAATTATTAAAAAAACATACAAAGTAACTATATATCAGATCTTAAAATGAAATTATAACTTAGAAAAAATAAGAAAGTAATCTTATTTAATCTCATTTAATTTTATTCTTGATATAAAGTTACTATTTTTAGATATTTTAAGGTTTTCTTTAAACTATTTTTAATTTTTTAAAAAGTAACACTTTTTGATAACACTTAAATGAGATTTAAAGTCATTTAAAGCAATAAAAATAATTTAAATTGAGAAGTGAAAATCATGATATTATTTAAAAAATGTAATAAGAGTAGACAGTAAGTCTTACTGAGACAGTATGAAACTACTATCTAATGTTAAAATCATGTAATGAGATCAGTTGAATTGATAATGAGATCATTAAGTATTCTGATTCTGGTCTCAGACATGATCACACGGTCAGTCTAAGTTCATCTGTAGAATTACTGTTTTCTAATGTGAACTAGCTCTGTAATAATTAGCATACTAAGACTCGTGTGCTACAAAAACATTTTATGTATTAAACTGATCTTATATTTTCTAGCAGTTTCAGTATAATTAAAGATGAATTGTGTATTTAAATTATCAATTGCTGCTTGTATAACTACTTCATGATACATGTTATAAGTGTTTGAAAATGAATGAAAAAATGAAGATTGAGAAGATGTTGTAAGTAGGTGTTGAGTGATTACATTAACTGCTTACAAAGTTTATTTTTTTACAGCTCTGAGTAGAGTACAGAGTAAGTTACCCTGTAGATTTTTAATCAATCCGCTCTGTTTGACTACAAATTAAATGAATATAATTGATGCATGTACATGGTAACACTAGTATAAAAACATCAAAAATACTCATTTGACTCAAATGTCACTATAGGCTACTATAACATTGCTAATTGAAAGCTATCCATCCCTGTTGTGGCTGAAGAAGGAAAGGAAATCTTAGATAACTCTCCCTCCTCTGCTGCCAAACCCACACAAGTGATAGGGGATGTCGCGAACAGCGATACCACGGTTTGTATCTGTATGTACTCCCCCAGCGTTTGTCCTCGTGGCGCTGTATTCCTATCCAGCCTAGGATAACCCTGGGCGCCTTGGACAGTGTACTCCGTAGGCTGCTCGTAAATGCACCGTCGCGGGTACCCCCAGGGATACTGTCAGTATGCATCAACTGAGCTCACCCTAGATGTGTTCCATTTCTTATACACAGCTAGAGCTCTTCTTGTCGCGTAAATATTTATTGTTAAAGATTTGAAAATACCCCATCGTGCGGAAATACGCCAGGGGAATAATATATAGTTAATGTAGAGAATTAAATTTAATTTTAAAATTAGGAAACTGTCAGGCGTCAGAAAATACTTATGACAATAACACAAGAAAAAGAAAAAGAACTGCATAACTGGAAGCAAGAATAACTTGACAAGACTTGAGTGCATGTACAGCCGATGGGAGTGTAAAGGTGCACGCTGGTAGAAAGTCCACCTGCTAGGATGAAAGGGGAAATGGGGTATCTTTGGTGTGCGAGGACGTACCAAATTATACTATGGAGTGACAGAGGAAAGGAAAGGAGAGAAGAAAGCATAAAAGGACAACTACATTAAAAACTCAACAGGAAGGGGTCGTGAGGCACAGTCAGCCGAACTTAGTGTGTTTATTCAAGGACGCTTAAGGCTCGGAAACAGCGTTGGTGTTCATGGGGATCAGGGCGCCCCATTTGTCTTATAGCCACAAGTGAAATGGAAGCTAGATCCGAGATACGTTGTTGGGTGTTCATTTGGTAAAAATGGAAGTTCTGTAACGCAACAGTACGGGACTCCGAGCTTGGGATTTTGTTTTCAGCGTCGCTACATTCAGATGAATGGCGAGTGAGCTAAAGCTGCGTACACGGGAGACATTAATATGAAATTTTTAGGCTGTGATGGATATGTGGAAGGAATAAAGCGGAGGAGGAGTTATACTTACACACTATCCAAATTAGATCGATGCTTCGGCTTATCTAGGCGGGCATATCGCCCCGCCGCAGTGTCATAAAGGGAAGGCTTAGAGTGAAGAATGTCGAGAAGATTGGTGGTCTGTGGGACATTGAGACCGCGAATGCTTCGCACGAAGTCCAAGGATCCATCACGATTCCTTTTCAGTCTAGATGGCCGCAGAAAGAGTTAGTGAAAAGGAAAGCGTGCGTTGGGATTGTCCTTATCAATGATGCCTACCCAGTCATTCCATAGCTGCTGGTGGAACACCGTCGCTGTATATCTGGTTTTTGATATTTGGCGCAAGATGTCTTGATCTCCTCCTGGATTTCGCAGCTGCAACATTTCTGTCTACGACGCTGTGATGCAGTGTTTTCGGATTCAGGTAGCCAGATGGTATGGCCTTTGGTGCATGTTACTTTATGCTGTCCATCTCTGAACATGACCATTGGGGAGGTAGCTTGATGTTCCGCGACATCCTGATTACTGTAATCACAGTCTTTGGATCGGGGCCTAATAGTGACGTATATTGGAGAAGCGGGGGACGCGGGTGCAGGGGTGCTAGGCTCCTTCTCGCGAGGATACCCCGTCTCAAAAATGGGTGATTTAAGGACAAGACTGTGCCTCCTGGTATGACGAGGGTAAATTGTTTCATATATAGGTGATTGGGGGTTGCCGTCTTTGTCGTCGGTCCGCGGGTATATAACCTTATAGACTGGAGAGAGGCAGGTATTGACATCCTTGGCGCTAATAGGATATATGGTCTTGTAAATGGGTGATATTAGTCCTTTGGATAGACTGCTAGATGTTGCTTTATCTCTTTCGGCTAAATTTGAAGTATCTATGGATATCCTCGGGGCACGCTGCTTGGACCGGCTTGGGGACGGCTTCCTCAATAGGGGCATGGAGTCCTCGTATGACTCGGAATCCGTCTCACTATACCCTATAATCGATGTTCCACTGGAGGATGAAGGGCTGGAGCGTCTTGATCGTTTATCATGACCCCAAAGCCGGTCCTTCCTCGGGGTGGCAGTTGCGACAGGCATAGTGAATATGGTAAAAGGCTGATAGAAGCAAAAGTGGACAGAAATTATAACTATGAGAACCAACTCAAGATATGTATTGAGACGTGGGATGTAAGAGTATTAATCGATTGAATTGATGTCTAAAACAATGTCTTGATCGAGGGCATCCAACGCCAATTTATCCTCCGCTTTCATCCCTAGCATAGCAAAATGAGATCGCTTCTTTCCAGAGTTCTCCGGATCAAAATTCGACATGGCGTCTAAATCAGATGTTTAAAATTGAAAAAGGAGCCATAATTAGCAAAATGGCTGACATTACTCCAAATCAGAATAGATTGTTTCATACCACTGCTTGATTGCACCGTTGGACAGGACATGAAGGAAAATTCCACAACTCCGGTAGCGGTTGATGAAACCGACGCTGTAGCTGTGTGATTTCATCCAAACTCCATTGAACCAGAGAGCAAAGATAGTCCAGGGGGTGTTTGATAAATTAGGTATATAGAGCAACAGAGCTGCTCAGGGGTTTTTGATAAAACACCCCTTGATGCTGCGGCTAGTTAATAGCCGCGCAGTTGGAAACACCTAAAGAGATAGTCCTTTTTCTAAAAAGATAAATTAAATGAGATAGCCCGGTTTCCAGCCAGCCAAACAACTGAAACGACTGCAGTTGAAACAGGAGCGTGGTGTGTATGGGTCTCATTTGGCGCTGGGCGCCAAAACACACCTGATCCATAAATAGAATCCAACGACTGGTCTGCAACCCTCCCCAAGATGGTTTGTGGGGTAGTGATTCAGATAAAATGTCTTTTGAGAGAATGGTTGGGCCTCTGCTCTCCCAAGCCAGCAGGAGGCAATAGTCAACATCAACATTCACCGAATGGACGTGAGAACGAGTGAGGTCTGGATGGAGAAGAATCGCTTTGTGGCAATAACCAAGCGGACTAATATTTATCCGGAGAATTTGTGTCTTTTAGCTGAGTAAGCGGCCATGATAGATGGCTTGGCGTTGGACGTCATTTCTCATTTCTTCGAATGTTGAGCAACGAGTCCCGGAAACAAGTCGGACTCATTAACTTTGTAAAACTGCTGCGCAAGATAAAAACGGCCCTGGTAGTATATATGCCATGTTGAGTTTATTGTCTTCAAGCTCCCTGTATCGACAGCTAGACCAGTTCCCTCCTACTGGACTAGATATTTCCCTAGATAGCAGCTAAGAACCAAATCTCACAAGACAACCACTGGACTTTCCGCAGTGAGGGACGCCGAATGAGGGCAGTTCAGGCGTCCCAGGAGGCTGCTTGGATTGGTAGCCGAAAATCTGACTGTTTCTCAATCGAACTTAGATGTCAGCGGGCCGGTGTTTAGGCTCTACGGGCACTCCAATCATCAGTACATCTAGTTATACCAGATCAGGCACTACGCCGGACAATGTCGCTGAATAGAGTGGCTTCCCTTGAATCGTGGGAATCCCACCCCTCTTCATTCCGCCAGCAGGAGAGGTTCGTCCTAGAACATGCGGACGACCATGTCTCCCCTAAAGAAGGGGAGGGCTACGATTCAGTTCTCGATTCGAGCACCCAGCTCACACCTGTAGTTTCCGGGCCGCAGCAAAATACAGTTATGCGAAAACTAAGTTTTAACCCAGCTGCTGGGCCATCATGGACACATGCGTGCATTGATGACGAAGATGATCAAGCGTGTCGGCGAAGCCAGCACTCGATATCTGATGAGGAAAGTGCTTTGATTCCGAGCGATGATGGCTGGGAGCCGGACACTTTAGCTGCTTTTGAAGTGCCGAAGGGGAAACGCGTCGGTAAGTTATTTCCTTGCGGTTTTTATATTAGCATTTACTCCTTGAATGCTAGTGTCTCTATCACCCAAAAGACAGGCTAACAAGTGGATATAACCGATAGCCCAAGTATTTGTGGCTGTAGTGTATTGTGTTCTGTCAGCTGGTGTAATATTTGGGTATGCCGCTCTGAAGCCAATTCTCATGGAGGAGGGCGTATATAGAAATCGATGTACCGAAAAAGAGATTGAAAGAGGTGAACGACTCTGCTACAATCAAGATCTCAGGTTGGTCAATTCTCAGCTTCCTGAATTTCTAGCATAAAATACTGACTCCTTTGAGGTTAAATTTCATGTTTACTCTTGCGGCGGTTGCAACGAACATCTGTGCTCTTCCTGCGGGTAGTATCGTCGATATGTTTGGCCCACGTTTCAGCGGGAGTATTGGTAGCATCTTTATCGCATCTGGATCTCTTTGTCTTGCTCTAGCCTCTCTCCTGCCATTCGATACATATATTGCCGGATATTTTCTTCTGGCTATTGGCGGTCCATTCGTGTTCATATCCGCATTCCAGTTATCCAACACGTTCCCAGCACACTCCGGTCTTGTGTTAGCGACGCTCACGGGCGCCTTTGATTCATCAAGCGCCCTTTTCTTGGTTTTCCGTATTGTTCATGGAGGATTCTTCACACTGCGCAACCTTTTTCTTCTTTACCTTATTGTTCCTGGCTTTATCTTCATCTCTCAGATTCTACTTATGCCATCGACCTCTTACAAAACAGCCGGCGAGCTGGTACAGCAAGCCGAAGATCTTATGGCCGAAAGTTCAGAGGAGAACGTCCCTGTCACCCCAGAGCAGGAGCGACAGCTCGAAAGCCGCGTCACAGAGCGTAGAAATAAAATATCAAACATCCAAGACCTTCTAGGCGCCCACGAACAACCGAAAACTACCCCAACTCCTTCAGGTCCTCCACAAGCCCCATACCCACCACCCGACGCCCGCAAACCAGACAGTATCTGGGGCGTCCTACACACGGCCTCAGCCCTCCAGCAAATCCGCTCCCCTTACTTCATCCTCATGACCGTCTTCACCGTCCTCCAAATGCTGCGCGTAAACTACTTCATCGCCACCATACGCCTACAGTACGAATACCTCCTCTCCTCCCCTCAGCTCGCAAAACACATAAACGACCTCTTCGACATCTTCCTTCCAGCCGCGGGTATCGTCGCCATCCCATTCGTCGGCTTAATCCTCGATAGAACGAGTACCATCACAATCCTAGCCACGCTCGTCGGCTGCTCAACCCTCATCGGCATCCTAGGTTGTATCCCTCACAGCCTGTCCGCAGGGTACGCGAATATCGTTCTTTTCACTCTCTACAGACCCTTCTACTACGCCTCCGTATCCGACTTTGCGGCCAAGGTCTTTGGCTTCCAGACTTTTGCCAAGGTATACGGGCTCATGGTATGTGTTGCCGGGATGGGGAATTTTCTGCAGGTACCGCTGGATGTGTTGATGATGAAATTATTTCGGCGGAATCCGATTCCGGTAAATATTTTGCTGACGATTATGGTGTCTATGGCCGGGGCGTTGTTGGTTTTGGTTGTGGGATGGCCGGGGAGGGAGCGGACGGAGATTGTTGATGTTGTTGTTGAGAATGGGGAGATAGGAGAGGGCTGTGGTGCTCACAGTATTAATGATAATGCTTTACGGAAGCATAGGTCAGGGAGAGAGATTCGGGACTATGCTTATTATCGTGACGGTGATGATGGTGAGCGGGGCGAGAGGAATCGACTGATTGTAAGTGATCATCAGGAGGGCGACAAGGGCTCTGCGCGTGCGTATGGGGCTATAAGGGATGAGTAATTCTATTAAATTCTGCATTTATCAAGGGCTCGAATGATCTGGAGTTTCTGGTCTTGTTTATTATGAGGAGAGGATATGCACCTCCCAGTGGCAGCTTGGAGATTTAGTTATGGTCATGTTGCTTCCTGTCCAATACCGCTGAACATATGTATACTATAAATAGAAGAATATTTAAATATGTGTACGTCTATATATGTAAGATGGTTGCTTGAAAATATATCAAGCCTGGCTACTCTTCACTGTTAAAGTGGAAATTTTAAATTCTTTTATTTATGTATATTTCTCTAGCTATTGCTAAAGGAAACGAAGATACCACAATTGAAATTGTAGCAGTCGTCAAGATATGTAGAGTTGTGAGTGAGTATCTCACAAAGCACGAGCATAGCCCGAGAAACGCGAGTAGTATATGTATGCATGCACTGAATGAATTGCTCAGCTCATAAAAGGGAATAAAACATTACCTACCGAAAAAACCCACCTAATCACTGACTCACTCACTTAAGAAGCCATCAACCAATTGGTCAATTAATCTCTAACAGGTGATACTTTCCCCCCTCCCCGCGCGGCCCCTCATAGTCGTCTAACGCCGTCTCTACCGCCTCCATGAACCCCAAAACCTTCTCCTCCTCCCATCTCCGCCCAACAATCTGCACCGCGGTAGGCAGCCCGTGCATCTTCTCCGAATCATAATGCTTCCACGCGCCCCGTGCAACCGCATTATCCGCCCCGGCCACCTTCAACACGCGCTTATACGCATTTCGCTTCTGGCTGGCAGTCTTCGTCGGCGACGGCTCGATGGCGTCCGCGATTGCATCCACGCGGCTTACGGGTAGCACGCCGCAGGAGTAATCAAGCAGGTTCCAGAGGAAGGTGTATCCACAGGAGGAGACGGCGTCTTTCATTGCACCGTGAGGTAGGGCGGGCGTCGCGTTGACGGGACACAGGATGAAGTCGTAGTTTTGCTCTGGCGAGCTCCACCAGTTGTGCCAGGTGGCGCGGAAGGCTTCGCGCTGGGCGACGAGTTTCCATTGCTCGGCGCTGGATTTGTGGCAGAAGTCCTTGATTAGGTAGGCCCAGGTGCTGTCGCGTTTGATGTAGCGGACGTAGAGGTAGTAGAGATAGCGGAGGGGGCGGGGTAGGTTGGCGTATTTGGATAGTTGGGCGGCGCCGGGGTCGGTAGATTCACCGGCTAGGAAGTGGGAGTTAAAGGTCACGCAGCCGTCGGAGTTTAGGAGGAGGGCAGCGAGGCGGAGGCCGATGAGCGGGTTGGCGGTTGGTGGTGGTGTGATGTTGATGAGGGTGTGGCCAGCAGCGGCGAGAGCTGAGGCCGCAGTGTCGATGGCGTGTGCGATGGCAGGTGTGGGTGGGACGACTCCTGTCTCCGTTGTTAATACTGCAATTCAAATAGGTTTGCTTGTAGTCTTCATTATTGGGACAATACCGTCAGACTTCATAACTCCAATTTTCAACTTCTTTGATCTCGCATCCTGCTCCATCTCGTCTCTCCACGAAATTGGATGGACAGAATGATCATATTTCCACGGCTGCATACCGATGATTGCACGGGTAAAATATGTCAAATCATTCAACGTTCGTGCCATTGGACTGAAGACACTTGGGACGCCTTCCTGTCCTGCCATGCTAGTGTTGATGCCAGCCTTTGGCCATCGGCCAGTGCTGCAGCGAAGGGAGTATATTCCACTCCATGCTGCAGGTACGCGGACAGATCCAGCAACGTCGGAACCAATGCCTACCCGTCCACCCAATGCGAGCAGCGCAGCTTCACCTCCAGTAGAGCCACCGGGGGAGTACTGAGGGACATGTGGGTTTAAACAAGGGCCCCATACGGGATTGTCAGATTCAAAGGACAATAACGTAACTGGCAAATTAGTTTTTGCATATGGAATTGCACCTAGAAAGAACGTTAGCTTGGAAAATCAATCTTATCAACACCTGTCTCTCTTTCATGCTGAGAAAGGGTGATGAGCACGACAGGTCAATAGCTTCATGGAAAGGGAGCTCTTGAGATAAAAAATAAAGGTAAAAATAAAAAATAAAAACAAAGGGTACAAGAACTATTACGTACCCGCATCCTTCAACAATCGTACAACCCCTCCATCCTCTTGATATGGCTTGTTCGCCAGCTTAGCATAGCCCAAGCTGATATCAAATCCTTTCACCTGCAACGAATCCTTCAATGAGACAGGAATACCGGCCAAGGGGCCCTTCGGGTTTATCTCCGATTTCGCCCATTCCTCAGCTTCTGGCAGCAGCAATTCCGTTATGCAGTTTGTCTTCTGCTGGGCCTTTACGGCGACTTTGCCGTAAGTTTGTAGAAGCTGGATGGGCGACACGAGACCTTTGTGCACATCTTGGACCAACTCCTCAATGGGCTTATCGATGACGGATTTGTCAAAGGCGGTGAATGCGGAGTGGTAGGAGGAGGGTAGACTGGCTATGCGCTGTGCGCGTTGCTGTCTTTTAAAGGTTCTAGTGGAATATGAAGAGGGCTTGCGGTTAGCTAGTAGCTTAAGCGGAGATGTGACTAATTGCATGCGTGCGGGGTAGCTAGTACCTAATCCGGCGCTGTTGGAAATATTCAAAGGGGGCCAACATGGCTGCTGTGTGCAAGGAGGTTATATACTATAAAACCGTACGAGGGGGAGGTCGGCTCGAAATTTATAGAGAGAAGTGGGGAAGTCGTAGGATAAACGGGTTCCTTCGGAGACGCAGGTCTATTTGTAGTCGGCGGCTATTTAGTTTAGGGCGGCTACCTCCGCACCGTGTCCCGTGATCGGCTAAGCTCCACCGCCGGTTGGACAGCATTGCCGAGAACGACGGTTCCCCCGCATTTCGAACTACGCTAGCCACATAAGCAATCCCGTTTTTCTTTTCACCGACGATCTTGATATCCTACAACAGCCGGGCTATGGCCTTGCTCACCCACGGTGGTTACTCACCCACGGTGGTTACTCACCCACGGTGGTTAGATCAGCTAGCATGTCCGGCCGCTATATTCGGGTGATGTTCATGTGATATCCAGTGACCTACTGGAATACCACCTGCACAACAGTCTGTGCAGGTGCAAGAGGTATGCACACTGTGAAATATTTTCAAATGATTGATGGAAATTTGTTCTGAACACAGGCAGAATAGTTAGAAAATGGAGGTTGTCATCACAGTGTTGATTGAACATTGTGTGGTTTTCTGCATCCATCCAAGATGTCTTATTCAGGATGGAGCAATCTCTTGATGCATTCAATGACATTTCCATTGATATTGATTGACAAATATGACAATGAGGAAAACATGAGAGCTGTTGTCAACAGCACTGAACAAAAATATAAATAGACACTTGCTATCTATGACAGATGTGCCTTCTACAAAGTGACTTTATCCCTGTCTGCATTTTACTCACAGGGAGAATAGGTTCCGTGAGCAACATCCCTGGGCCACCTCACTGCCTTGACATACGCGGCTTCAAGGCCTTTCTGGAGTTCGTGACAAGGGGTATTAAAGGTCAAATATTCGATAAACCTATCCCCGATACAGTAGATGGCATGGTCTCCATATTTCTCGGCTTGCTCGAATACTTCCAAGGAATTATATTTCTCACCACTAACCAACTCACCACATTGGACCCCGCGATGCAGAGCTAGATCTACTTTGATCTCAAGTACACTGAATTGAGCAAGCAAGCTGTAACCAGAGTCTGGATGACATTCTTAAACTGGGCTGGTACTGAGATCTCAGATGAAGAGCTGGAGAAACTGCTGCAGAGGAGTTTCAATGGATGGCAGGTGAGGGATTGAGTCCCATTCTCTCTCAATTGGTATTACTAACCAAGCTAAAACCTAGATCAAAAACATTGTTGGAGTTGCGCGTGCGCTAGCCGGGAAAGGAGCAGTCACCTTTGACCACATCAAAGACACCCGTGCCTACCTTGAAGAATTTGATTGCAACTACACTGGTCCAGGTGGAGCAGAAAACATGAACTCATATACATGAGCCCACACAGTCACCCAGTGGCATTCCAGGATGTATAGATGGGATGCATTTGTCCCCTAGGCCGGCAGGAGGCTTCCATGTTCGGGGATTTTTTCATCTAATATGGCATGATGAGCGTTGGCAAGAGATGAATTTGTTCTTTCTCATATTTCTCTCTCAGTAACCATATCTAATCGCGTTCTCCATCCAGTGCAAAGCTTGATTGTCATCCTTTTGCGCTTTCGTCATTGGACAGTTAAACAATCTATGAAAGTCACTTTTTTAAATCCCAATTCTAGCCGCACGTCAACGGAGGACATTTTGTGAATGTCACAAGAATTTTCCCTATTGTAGGTACCGTTTCTCTCTCTCCGAGCTGGCTCTATGCCCGGGCTGGCTAATACATAATCCTTGAGCCAGTCCCTATCTCATTAGCCAGCAAATCCTAGGCCTTGCGGTTGCTCCCACTTGTTTTAATGGGAGTAGTAGCGTAGACCAGAATCTGAAGGCATATAAGGCTTGTCTTCCTCCCACTTTGCTTCTATCACTCTATGTTCTCTTTCTCCTCATAAAGGTCGCCCCAGCTTTGTAATTTACCCGACGTCACACTTCCATCATGAGTAACCGGATAGCACGAACTCGTAAGATCAAGGAAACAGAGACTGGCTCAGTGGACAGTAGAGGTGGTAGTGGGACGATGGATACAGAAAAAATGATAGTATTGACCTGGGAAAACAAAATGGCTTCGAAGGTCCAGCACTCTGGAGATCAGCAGCAGGTAGACTCTACTAGCTCAACAAGACCCTTGCGACACAGCTTTGGGAATCGGCAGCTCATATCACGCTCTCGAAACTTGTACCGGATTTGGAGAAGCCATACACTGCATCAAATCCAAGTCGGATCAACCCTTTGACCATAATCCTCTCTTTGATTAAATATACCAGCATCTGTTCCCAGCGAGCTATCTTCGACGCAGATGCCATACATCATAACTAAATTCTACAGTTCCATTTCGAAGGTGCTGTTGCCTTCTTGCCAAATGATCTAGTTAAAGATTTGATATTATTAATCAATTTTTCTATCACATAGTTACTACGGGCAGCCTATAGTGATAAATGAGTCAAATGAATATTTTATGTTAGTGTCTATAGTGACAAATGTGTCAAATGGGTATTTTATACTAGTGTAATGATACTGATTGTATAGCAGCAATCAAGATCTTCCTCCTCATTGGATATCTATATACAGGGCGAGAGATCTGCGGGGTGGAGCTCATAGATGTAGGAATTTACTAACTACATTAGGACTAGTGTAATTAGTGTGTGATTATAATTAGAAGTTAGTGATGAAGAAATATAACTAATTAAAGATTCATTATTTTGCAGAAAATATGTGAGAAAGAGAATAAAAAATGAATGAGAAAATAGAAATGACTCTCTTGACATTTTTATTTGGTTCTAATTCTCTTCTTTAAAGGCTGTAGAGATCTTAGAGGAGTATACGTACAATTTTGAGACCTGATGGATAACTTGATAAGTAATGGAGGTTCAGTCCCCATCTCCAAACCCCTGAATGGACAGAGTTTAGTGCAGCCAGTATGGAAGGTACCCTAGGGCGAAGATATAGAAAAAGAGCCTACCTGTAACTAGTACGATGGCCACCAGGTAAGGCAAAGGAAAAAAGATACTGAACCGGCTTAATTGGTCCAGGTTGCAGTTCACATCATGGTCTGGATCCATATTCCATCGTAATTGAACAAATGGCCCTCACGGAGCTGTCTCGGACAAGCGATGCAGGGGATCGGAGAGGAGGGTAAGAGGAGGTAGAAAAAGAAGATAGCTGGGTAATGAGCGACTTTAGAGTAGGGTGAGTTATTATTATCCGGTATGTTAGATAACTTGTAGTAGCTTTAAAAAGCGAGAAGATCGCCAGGGACTGGGTGATTGGAGTCAGTGAGACAAATGACCGGCTGGGCTTATACTGGCTGAAAGAGGTGTTCAACAAGGATACCCTACTGCGTACGAAGGGCAAATACCGACTTTTGATTCTTGATTGGCATAGAAGCCATTCCTCAGCTGAATTTGATCAATTCTGCTCTGAGAATAATATAATTGCTCTCTATATGCCGCCACATTCATCCCATCTTCTTCAGCCATTGGATGTTGGCTGCTTCTCCCCCCTGAAGACTGCGTACGGAAGGCAGGTGGAGAACCAGATGCAGCTTGGTATCAACCACATTGACAAGGAGTTTCTGGCCCTATACCCTGTAGCTCATATGCAAGCTCTGAATGAGAATAACATCAAGAGTGACTTTAGAGCTGCTGGATTGATTTCATATGATCCTGAATAGGTTCTCTTGCGGCTTAATACCACCATGCACACCTCTATCCCCCCTCCAGGGACCTCTCAGAGCTCCCAGGCCTCCTAGGTCACTGCCACACCATGTAATGTACACCAATTGGAGCAGCAGACTGAGAAGGTCAGAAAATATATCAAGCACTATATACAGAGCCCACCCAGTCCAACTGATCATGCTCTAACTCAGCTGGTCAAGAGCTGTCAAATGGCAATACATAGAATAGCTATTCTGGAGAATGAAAACAAGAAACTAAGGGTTGAAAATGCCAAACAAAAGAGAAAGTGAGAAAGAGGCTGTACATATGTAGCTCAAGAGGGTGCTATGAGGGTCGAAGAGGGCTTGAATCATGTATGAAGGTTGATGAACTGGATGAAGGTGCAACACCACGCTGTAACTTAGTGTGTGTAATACTATCGGACAAACTGCCCGTACATGCTCCCAGCGTACAATAACTAGTTAACTAACTTAACTTAGTTAACATTAACTATCAAACTCTGATTATATAAACTCACTGAATGAACTGAATAAGATTGAATTTGATTTTCAGTCTCAGTTTCATTCTGATTTTTGAAGAATGATCATCTTTCACTGTTTATTCTTAGAAATTACTCTGCATTCTGTATACACCGGTTAGTTCCCCAGAGTTGGAACATTCTCCCAGACCAGTGTAGGAGTATCTACTTTAATAATATCTAAAACACTTTCTGTTCCTGAACCTTGCTATGAACTCTTCTCGGGGTTGCTGGGAGATAGCCCGCGCCTATTCTAAGAGTGCCGGATTCGGCTGAAGGGACACTAGAATTCCCATTTTTTATATGCGCGGATTGAGGGAGATCTTTAGGATAAGTAGTCCCTTATCATGTCGAGGCACACGAGCCAAAATAATTAGGAGTTATTTTATCACCCAGCAGAATTCTAGAGATATCGCATGTATGATGTATGGTCTTCTCCATTCATCTCAATTTCAATTGGCTGGCTTCCTGGAAGAAATGCCTAGTCAACCAAGTCCAGTCCACCCCTATCTAGAAAACGGGAGAACCTGCTTCTCTCTTCTCTACAAGAGAGCAGAATGGATTCATTTCAACAATGTCCCAGGAGGAAAACTAGAATAACCACAACATATCATGGTATTCTGACAAACTGCATCATAGTTGTGGTTTGCCTGTTATTCCCAACTCATAGATTATGTTAAAACCCACAAAAAGAGAAATCAAAGCAAACACAACACAAAATAGAAGAACTTCTGTGCTGTAGTGTGTCATTCACTTCTCTCAAACCACCTCATCACATAGCCTGTCATGAGACAACCCTGGCTTGTCTTTCATTGTGTCTAGACAGTGACAAGCCCAAGATCCTCATCAAAGGACATTTCCAACATGGATGACTCGATCCCCCTCCCTATCGGCTACGACACCGTCGTCGGGAAAATCACCTTGATAGCCGGGTACGAAAATCACAAGGCAATCTTCCCTCCCAAGGTGGAGGCCGTTCATATTCTTGGGAACGTGCGCGACTCAAACAAGGGCGCCCACACGCGCAATATAGGGCGCTCCTCCATGCTTGCCGGGATCCCCTACTACGTGTTTGGACAGGTAGCCAATGTCTCAAACGACGGGTATGCCTTTGGAACCGTCCCCAATGCAATAGCCAGAGCCGCGGAGCCGTTCACCGATCCCCTTCTCACCACGTACGTTTCCATCGAAGAGAACGGCTACATTCATCCGTTCCTCGGGCTGACCGAGAACGAGGTGAAATTTGAGCAGGACACTGGTCTGAAAGTTATCATCTCAATCCAAGGAGGGATCTGTGAGGGGGAACTGGGCAGTGGCAAGGGATGTGTCTGGTATCAGAAATTGATTCGTGAGAAGAAGGACGGGGTCACTATTCGCAATTATTACCAGGGAACCGGGGTGGCACCGGTGAAGGTAGATGGTGTGACTGGGGAGCTGCTCAACAAGCGCGTCCTAGGCGAAGCTATCCTGTTTGAAAAACATGAGCCCGCCTTTGGTACATTCTGTTCTGTGATGCATAACCAGTGGTACTACCTGTGGGGCAGATACTGCGAGGACATCTATCTCGCCAGAGTTTCGCTGCTCCACCCCTTCGAAAGGGAATACTACCAGTTCTGGAATGGGTATTCATTCACAGGGGATATCAAGATGATAGCCCCTGTGCTGACAGGATATGCCCACGGGACGATCTACAAAACCCAGCTCTTTGGTCACAACTATCAGTGGGCCTTTATTGGCAGCACCGACTGGAACGATTCCGCTGTGATGATGGGCGCGGCAAGTGAGCCACAGGGACCCTTTGAAATCACTCAAATCGCCAGTGCAGAAAACTTGCTAGACACTGGAGCATTTTCTGATTGCGTCTACGCTCATCAATGGGCTTATAACGAGACCGTTGGCGAGGTTCTTGTGAGCTGGCGCGAAAAATGGCCTGGCGGAATCATCGGGGCAAAATTCCAATTGCAAATGCGTGAGTAGATACACCAGTACATAACTAGTGTTGGATAAATGACCAGAACAATACTAATTTTGAACCTATCAAAAGTCCATCAAGGAGCTTTCTGGAAGGACATCTCGCTCGATGATGTCCAAAGTAAGTCATCAGCCATATCCCTCTCAACCTTGAAGTATCAAGATCATTAACTAGGGCAATTTTGCTTTATAGCTTGCATTTCGACTCTTGCGAAAACCCGCAATGAGCTTGTGGATATTGCCAGTGCGCATGGCGTGTTTTGTAAGGGATAGCTTTTCATATGGCATAAAAACCACCCGACCCATTTCAAACCAAAAGCAAATGGATATCTGTCCAACAGAAAAATTCTAACAAACCAAAACCACCCTCTAGATGAGCTAGACAGCAAGGGATTCGGCAAAGTCAACATCAGGTTGTTGGGTGGATCCGCCAAAGCCGTGGACGACGCCGCGCTCGAGATTTGCAAACAGGTCGAAACCTGGGCTCGACAAGCACTGGGTCTCGAGGAACGGGAGGCCAAAAAGACATTCAAGAATGCTTTTGGGCTCATGAAACGCAAAAACAAGGAAAATAATCAGAGCAAAGAGAATGAGGACACTTCTGCTTGAAGTTATTGACACACTCTGGGAAACAAGAGAGGCTCTGAGGTTTTTGCATGGAGGATTTTACGAAATTATGGCATTGTTCCTTTTTTCTTTCTTTCTGTTTTCTGTCTTCCCAATGATCGGACAAGTAACGTAACGTAATTATTAACGAATGGAAAAGAGCAGGCAGGGTAGGCTGGGTTGTTTAACGGCGCAATGAACGAGCAGTGTTTCCTTTTCTTTTTAATGCACCTAAATAATCTATATGTATTTCTTGAGTAAAAAGGCCAAATAGGGCAAGAAACATCCACCAGGAAAGGGTTAGCCGCGCATTACTAATCAAGGTGGCAAGAGGGTCTACGATTTTGACCATCGCGGCAGAAGCTCCATAGTCAAGCAAGAAATAAACGTCTTTGCATTCTCGACAATTTGCTTGTGGTCGCCTACATTCGATCCCGTATATTCCTTCTTATAAATAAGTGAATATGGCGAACTATCTTGCTTCAATCTTTGGAACTGAGCAGGACAAGGTGAGTGACCTCCTTTATAAAACCCGGAACAACTGCTTCCATCACCATCAGAAGGACGGAGCTTTAGCCCAAAACAGGTACTGACATAGAAGCGGGAAAGGTCAACTGCTCTTTTTACTACAAAATCGGCGCGTGCCGTCATGGCGATCGATGTTCGCGAAAGCACGTAAAGCCTTCATACTCGCAGACGATCCTCCTACCAAACCTTTACCAAAACCCAGCATATGACACCAAGAACAAGATGAACCCGAGCCAGCTGCAAAACCACTTCGATGCCTTCTATGAGGATTTCTGGTGTGAAATGTGCAAATATGGTGAGCTGGAGGAGGTAGTCGTGTGCGATAATAATAATGACCGTAAGCTCTTTCTGCTCCCCCTTCCTCTCCTGCCTTCGTTCGATTCGAGCGAAGCTTTTATCATAGGTTGTGCTGACGCTTGCGAAAAAAAAATAATCAGACCTAATCGGAAACGTATACGCGCGATTTAAATACGAAGACTCTGCACAGCAAGCCTGCGACGCGCTCAATTCTCGATGGTACGCTGCGCGACCGATATACTGCGAACTATCCCCCGTCACCGATTTCCGAGAAGCGTGCTGTCGTCTGAATAGTGGGGAAGGATGTGTGCGCGGGGGGTTCTGCAACTTCATACACCGGAAGGAACCGAGTCCTGAGCTGGAGAGGGAGCTTGAGCTGTCGACGAAGAAGTGGTTAAAGATGAGAGGGCGGGATGAACGCAGCGTCACTCGCAGTCCCAGCCCGGAACCAACTAGGAGGAGATATTGAAATACAGATATTGATTGAAATACAGATATTGAAATACATTCTGTCTTCTTTTCTTTTTCCTTTCGAATCGGTAGGGGCCGAAATCGACGTTCTAGATTCGGACTTAAAGCGCATATGGTCCTCTCCGCGATTCGAAGCATTCTTTGACGTCCAAGAGAATATCGAAGGGTTTCCTATATCCAAAGTAAGGCGTTAGGGGTGGGGCACAATGTTTCGATGGCTTGTTTATGAAATCATCATTTGGTTTTGTTTTCAATGTTTACTCTATTTTTATTTAGTTATTTTCTTTCGCTGTATACTTCGTCCAATTTCCCCATTGATTTCTGTTATGATATCTGAAGAGAGAAATTTATTACTTTTTCTCTCCAAAAATGTACTTTTCGTAATTTTTGTGAAATAATCGCGGGTGGTCAAGCTGTGACGAGGTGTTATTATTGGATCCCCAAACAGATGATTGGGTGTTGATAATTCACGACGCCTCATTATGCTTCGGGCGATGATACGCTTAACAGCAACCCATGAAACCCATGAGATCATTTCCGCCATTGACCGGCATTTCCCCCTACCCTACCATTGCTTCGCCCTCTTCCATGTATCGTGCCCGCACAGGCACAAACCTCCAGCCCATGCAGTCTCGTGACCACACCGCTACTTCCCATGGCGAAGGGATCCATGGTGAAATACGGGAGCTAAACTTGGGCTGGCGTCCGCTAGAGCCAGGAGCTCGCTGGCAAGTTCAGCTGGAGGCAAGTTCAGCGAAGACTAATAATCCGCTGATTTCTGTGAGGTTTTCTTCTTCCTCGACGGATGAAACACGGGAGGGATATGTTGGAGATATTTGGCCATTGGTGACCTTCACATCTGACCCGGGTGCATGACGCTGCCAGGAAGTTACAAAGAAGCAGAAGAAGCGATACGCTCTTGGCATGTGGTGGTGTTTATTTACCCGTACGGAAGTTATACGACATTAAGGAGAATATTATATGACTTACTTCGGATTACTCCGTAGTCCGAAGGGTGTGGTTGGTTCCGTAGGCGGCATGCGGCAGGGCTAGGTATCGATGGTGTCTGTACTCCGTAAAATACACAGACTGACCGTGGCCGCCTGCAGTGCTGGTAATATATCTCCACGTTGCTCCAATCTATGCGTATGTCACTCCACGTCCGTGCCTCAGTTCAACGACAACGTCCCTTCTGCGACCCTGGGATGGGAGGAAGGATAAAGATCCAACATTTTCCTCCCTTTTCCCAACATCATTCAGTCACGCCGTCGTTGCAGCATGACGGGATTATACTCCATTTTGCTGCCTTGGACTTCGCAATAATAACCATCTCACATGTCATACGGGCGCCAGTTGGCGCTCGACTCCACTCACCAACCAACCAACGAAGATATAGTTAACAAGCTTCAAACCGAGTGAGCGCTTATCTGCCTAAGTAATTCGGGTATAGCCGTGTTGGAGACCAATGGAATGGTTATATATATGAGCTTGCCTATTCTCGCTTTTGAAATAGTCAACCTCAGGGAAACCGCTTTGTCTTCAATATCGAAATGTCTTCCCCACACAATCCAGCGAGCAATTACTGGGGGTGTTTGATCCGGGCAGACAAGAGCGCCACTCCTCTGTTTGAACAGCTCTGCCTGGGGATCGCGAAATTAATAGTAAGCCTTCTCCTTCCCGACAACTGCAAGTTGAACCACAGTATTAACTAAGGTCTTTGCGTCCACAGACAGAACTCCGACAGCCGAGTACGGAAGATCTTGCCCCGGAGAATCTGGCCGCATTTTACCGTTTGGTCGGGGGAAATTATGACAACATCTTCCTGCATACACCCCACGAGTCTCTATCATTCATATACCAGTCTTTAGGGTGCTTTCATACCCTCCAACCCACGCCAGATCCCTTCAAACCCCCGTCCATTCCAGCACTCCGCCCGCATGGCTTCGTCCGCTGGCAGACGATCCAGCTCCTTCTATGTCCACACGAGCATATGTTGTTCCTGCAAAGAGCAGTGAAGAAGTTTGACATTATCAACCCCTCGGGTGGATGCGTATTCCCGAAGGTTATTCCAAGGGATTCGTTCCCTTCCAAACCCGACCCGGAAATGGTGCAGTGGCACGAAACCGTCAGCCAGAAATTGGAAGACGAATATAATGCGGAAGAACAGAAGGCCTCGTCACGGTTTTCTGATCGTGATTCACAAGGCCATAAAGCGGGTCCCAAGTCTTTAGATGGCTTCGCGCCAGACGAAACACCTGACTATTTCTCTCGTCGGGGAAGCACCAGCCAAAGACCATCCAATTACTCCAGACATACACCACCGTCGGAACCTAATCCCGCTTACAACGTGCGTGTTCATAAACGATCTGTGCCAGAATTCACCTCTCCGCTGTCCACGGAACCGGAACTAAGACACGATGACATCGATGAGCATTCGGCACCGATATATAGCCGCGTCAAACCTCGTAGCAGACCGGCTTCACGGCACAGACGGTCTCGCCGTGGTCGATCATTAACACCTCCCCCACGACACCGACAATTGCCATCTGAATCTTCGTCAGAGTCTGAGGACTCCGAGGAACATGTGCGTCAATCCAGATCACCAACCTCCCCCGAGGACGACGATAACGACGCGGACTATGATAGGCTGTTCGCGAGCCGCAATTCGCATGCCAGATGCCACTCACACGACGCCGCACATTCATCAAGGAAAAGATGGAGCCAATCCCCCACACGCCGCCACCTCCAACGAGAAGACGCCATCCCACCAGAAGCATTCCAGGCATACGATTACTACTCCCGCATCCCGAACAGCGCAGAATTCCGCCCGTACCCCGATGACCCCCGACGCATGAGCTCAGTCTCCCACTCCCCCCGAAGACTCAAACAACTCCAACCCCAACCACCAGCCGCTCCCCACCCCCCCGCGCTCCCGAGCGTGAAATTCCGCGAATACATCTTCGACGACGATGGCAGACACGCCAACTCCGCCCCACCCTCGCCCGTTAACCACCACCCTCACCATCATCACCAACCTCTCTACACCCGCACCGCCTCTTCACGAACACCCGCCACAGCACACAACTCATCCCTCGCATATCGCCAATACGTCCCCAGGATGGATACAGAACCGTCCCTCCCAACCCGCTCGCTCTCAGGCAGGCGAAAGGCAAGCGCAAGCGCCAGCGCCGGCAGCCGTAGTGGCAGCAGCTCGGAGCGAGCTCGTGCATTGTCCATTGGCGGGAAACCGCTGGCGCATCTGCGCATTGATCAAACCATGAAGCCCTTGACAAGGCGGTATTGATTGATCTGTTTTGGGACTTCAATTAACGGGGGATGGCTAAGAGGATGCGATGGGTTTTTTTTTTTTTTTTTTTTTTTTTTTGTCAGACGGGGGGTGCAAATGGGGTCATAAACCGGAGGCGGGAGGGTTTGCATACTCAGCCTCACCAAAAAAAAAAAAAAAAAATTTCCTTTTTATGGATCTTGTCTTCCCTCATAACTCACCTATCATCTGTAAGGTTTTTTGCCCCTCCCTCGTGTCTGATTTTCACGCCGGCAGCAGTGTTATGAATCCTAGTTCCGAAACAACAATTTAGATCTTAGTCTATCACCTATCGCTATTTGCTAATCTTTTTTTTTTTTTTTTTTTTTTTTTTTTTTTGGGGGGGGGGGGGTTTCCCCCGGGGAATGGGGCTGTTTTTTCCCCCTTTTTCCCCCCCAAACCCTATTTTTTTTCGGGGCCCCCCCTTTGGGAAGGGCAAATCCCCTGGGGGAAAAATGAAAAAATTTCGAAACC